GGAGGCCATGGCAAACCACTTCCGAAACACCTTGCCTTGAAAACTGCAGGGACTCGTCCAGCCAGTCGCCACAGAATCGGTAATGACTGAGTGCGGATAAAAAAAAAAAAATTGATGGCCATATTCAACATGGAAAGGTGTTTCAATTATATAAATACACATACATGCATACATGCAGGGATGGCCTAAAAGGACCAAATTCTTGAGTGGGGGTGAGAATCTGCTACTTCCCCCACCTGTCTTCCCAAGCATATCTTCCTGCATGCTCCTTTCTTAGAAGAAGCAATGCCGTTACTCACTTTCCAGCTGCCTGGCCATCCATCCAGTAGTCCTCATCCCGGGAGGTCTTCCAAATGATGCACTATGAGAGAGCCCCAATGGCTAGCTTTATAGACGCCACAGCCATCTCACCATTTGCCACTTTGAGGTCTTTTTCCAAAAGCTATATCCTGGGCTAGTTGGAGTGACATTCTGCTGCAGAGGATGCTTTGGGAGCAATGAGGCAACTGTTCTGGGCAGTCCATGGTGCCTTAATCACAGTTTATAGTTTTAAGTAATTGTTTCCTTTGCCCAAGCAAAGGGCCAGCTCAGAAGTAAGCTTTGCTGAGTTCAGTAGGGATTGCAATCAGGATATAGACAGGCTTTTTTTTTTTTTTTTTGCCTCGGTATCCATTTATTTCGTCCTTCTCTCTCGATATCCTTTTTTAAATAATAATGTTATTGAACATGTCAATAACAAGATAAGAACTATTGCAAACTAAAAAGAAATAAAAGAATATAAAGAAAAAAATAGAAAGTGCAGGAAAGAAAGGAAAACATAGAAAGAAAAAGTAAAAAGAAAGAAAAAATAAGAATATAGTAGAGAAAAAGAAAAGAAACATATAAGGAAATTACTTCCCCCTTCATAACAAGTATAAACATTTTTAGTAACTTATCACCTACTCTTAAAATACAACAAATGCTCTCTTCTTCCCATAACGCATCTCTTATCTACTTCTCTCTCAATATTCATGTGACCATTATCCAGAATAGCCTAGTACTTAGAGCATGCTGGCTCTTGTTCAAGAAAATAGAGTGCTATGTTCTCTGCCAAAAATAATGAGGTAAATTATGAGAAATAATTATCAATATGTAAAGGGAATAAGGAAGGAAAGAATAGCAGCAATGGAAAGTAAGGGCTGACCCAGTTGGATTTCCACTACGGTTGCCAGCTGGTTAAGAACATAATGATCACCTAATCTAGCTGAACAAATAATCCAGCCTGGGATAGGACAGTGTCCTGCAAGATTATCTCTTCTGCCACATGCAGAGGTATGTCATTAAAATATGTTACCAGTTGCCAATTCTCTAATGAAAACAACTCAAATGGATGTGTTGGGACTATGCTTCCAGAATGCCCAGAGACTGGGGAATTCTGGGAACTGTAGTCTAACACAACTAGAGTGCTTTAGTTTGGGAGAAGCTAGTAAAACGTGTTCACTAGAAATGTACTTCTCAGATGAACTGGTAGCTTAATGTTTCTTTCTATGCCTTTCTGAAGGACATCCTCTCCCCTGGGTGTGCCTAGGTGAGATGTGCTGGGATGTCTCTGAGGTGAACCCATGCAACCTGCTCTCTGCTTTCCTCTCCAGGTGGGCGAAGGCTGTGGAAGCCCAATCCATCACCTGAGATCCCCGCTCCACGACTCCCTCCATGCCTCATCATCTCTCCCTGGTTCCTCAGTCTTCACTCGAACCGTTGAGTTTTCCTTTGATGCCTCAACAGTACAGAGGTCCCTGGAACAGGAAGAGCTTCCCTCTTCTCCTCTCATCCGTTACCGACCCCTGACCAATACTCCCTCCCAGGAGGGCTTAGGGGGCACTCCCACCAGCTCCTCACCCAAGTCCTGTCCCAGCTCAGACAGCTCACCCATCTACGCACGCAGAGAGAGGCACAGTGAAGGTAACCGCTGGCTTAAGGTGTTTGGAGTCAGGGAAGGCTGGAAGCAAGACTCATCAATGGGGGAGGGATGCGATTGTGAAAAGCAAATTCTGATGCAGCTCCTCTCAGACTGATTTAATGCAAAGGATATTTGGGATTTTGAGCTTGTATCCAATCTGTACCAATGGTTCTTGCCTGGATGTGAAAGAGAAGTAGCTGTTGAAATGTCCTCCTTAGAGTTGTTCTTAGAAGATAGGTGCTCTCATTTCCTTACAGTTACTCAGCTTACCTGACAATGCTAAGAGGGCCTCATTCATCTCCCTCTACTACCTCAAAAACACTGTTGAGTAAGCTCTAGCATCAGTTAAAATGTTGCTTTAAATATAAAAGCATCTGGAAATCCCCTCTCCAAACTGAGGAAAATGCAAAAAATGCTGGCCTCCCTTGTGGTTATGACACAGTTTTATCATTTTATGAAATAGACCATAGCTATGCCATTTGCAGCCTACTTTCAGGTGTAGCTATCCTGAAATCTTTCCACAAGATGCTGAAGATGGGCCTTTTCTGTTGGCATCTAGGAAAATATGTTGTTACATTTTCATTGATTATTGCTTTGTTAAAATTATTTTTCTGGATTTTATTGTATGATTTTGTTTTAACAGTAAACTGCCGGCAGCTGATGTTTTATTATGGCTGTATACAAATATAGTTAGTAAATAAATAAATAACACATGGACTCTTGGTATTCTATTTGTGGCTCCACAGCCCCACCTGGGCAGAGCAATTGTTGCTATATGGGAGATTTTAGAGACAAAGAAATGCCCTAAGCTTTGTATTTCATCCCTTAAAAATAGTGAATTCCTCCCATTAGATCCTTTTTTTCACTAGGGCAAAATCTTCTCCAAATTAAAAAGAAAAAGGAACAAACATTTGACCTTGCCCGTTCTGATATTGTCAAAATATTACTGCCTAGACACCCTGGGATTCTTGGAGCTGCCCCCAAATAATTTTTTTAAAGTGTTACATTTCACTCTTTCAAGCCTCTTTCCCAGCCCCTTCCCACATTTTTATTTTAATGTGCCCTCCCCCATAAGAAAGTTTAGATTGTTTGCAAATATAATTTTTATCATATTTATTTATTTATACCATTTATGTAATGCCCTCTAACGAGGATGAGGATGGTATAATATCAATCAATCAGCACTTACCTTGATTGGCCCCATCTAAAGACCAAATGGGGTGTGGCAATTACAGAATGTCCAACTGTAAATGGCAGCTTCACGGCTAGAGGAGGGGAAGAAAGCTTTCTCAGTGGTCATTTGAGGAACTGTGTCTTTCATCAACTTTGAAGCTGGGTACACACATTGTGTAACATCATGAAAGGGCTTTGGCTTATAGTTTTGTGTGAGCCCAGTCATTGTTACTAGTAAATCGTAGTTGATGGCTCAGCACAATACGGTAAATCATGATTATGGTAAATCATGATTATACAATTTTTGGCTTGGTGCACTGTGTGAACCCAGTTTGAATCACCCTGTGTGCGTGTGTGTGCACATGCATGTATTTTTGCTGTAGTAAAATATCATGCAGCAATGACTTCTTCAACATTTGCAAGACCAGAACAAGCCCTTGACTCGAGTTCATTCCAGTAGCTCCTCTTAGGTCTTTATGTAGGTAGAATATTTTTGTTCACGAGGGCTTCTTTCTGAGCTTTCAGTTCATTCAGAACTTAGGGCCAGAACCTATTTTAAATTTCAGATCTAGAGCAGCACAACAGGAGACATGGTAATCAAAAGATGTAGCCCCTAAGCACATACAAAACACCTGTTCTTCACAGAATCCCTTGGAATCAAAAACAGGCTTTCAATGTCAGCTAGCTCAGTTGTACATTAGAATGCTTATTTCTGAAATAAGCCACAGACTGCCTACCTCTCTTCCAGATGACAGCAGAGATGCAAGTCCTCCAGAGCTGGAAAGCCCCACCATTGGGCTTGACAAGAAAACACGACGGAAGTTTCTGGATTTGGGGTGAGTCCTAGAAGTTGGGCTTGATAAGAAGAAGAATGTCTAATTCATTTTCTTGGAGTTTCCTGTATGGTAATTTCTGTTCCTGTCACCCTAAGTATCAAAGGGCTACATAAATACTTCTGGGTGCTTGTAATTATGTTGATTCTCTCTTGCAGGGTCACCCTCAGGAGGGCATCTTCTGGGAAAAGCAAAAAAGAAAAGGGGGGCAATCGTCTCTCCATAGGCAATAGGTAAGGGGTTAGGATTTCCCAAAGCTCCTCTCAGTTAAGTTCTGGTAGACCCCTGAAAATCATTTGGAAGACACAGACTCCCATCAAGGAACTATGTAGATGGCTACCAAAAATTCCTTAGGAGTAGAGCTGTGCTTTTTTGATTGACCACTTTAACAGGCCGTTTCCCCATCCAGAATTTTTCCCCTGGATTCTGTATATCAAAAATTTGTAGAACAATTGATGACTGTGAATAGGCTTGCAATTTATTTGGAAGATGACAGGTGGACAATCTCCTCCAATCACAATGACTAAAAATTGGTAGCAGATCTGTTAATATTAGGGTGATGGGCTGCCCTCTACTAATCTCAAAATCTTACTAAAGGCATCATCTTGCCACTTTTGAGAACCAGCTGTGTCTACCTCTCATCATAGCGTAGCTGCCTTGAAGTATCACAATCAAGGATGTGTAAAATTTACCATTCCAGGGACAGAATAGTCCAGGTTTTCTTCCAGACCATGCTGATCTAGGAATTCTGGAGGTGAACTGGTAGTTTTTCAGAAGAAAATCTTCTGGAGTAAGAAAAAGATTGTGATGCAATCCCCACATTAGTTTTCTAAAATGATCAGTCCCCGGATTTACTTCTGTAAAAATAGCAGACTCCAGAACAGTTGGATCAGTATGATCTGGAAGAAACATGGAACGTTCTTATATTCCTCAGCACATTCCACCTCTGGAATGGTACGTTTTGCACATTTCAGCTCACAACTCCGCTCAAGGAATGATGCATGTAAAATTCACTTTTTCATCTTGGAAAAAAAACTCACTGAGGCCCTTTTCCTTGTTACCTATCTGACTTGTGCAGGGAGTTGATGGAGGGTTCCAGTCGTTCCTCGGGATCGCCCTTCATGCCTTTCTCCTGGTTTACAGACAGCGGGAAAGGCTCAGGCTCTTCAGGCAGCACAGCTTCTCCTACCTCTTCCCCCAAGAGCGAGGCCTTCAGCCGCAAGAAATCTGCCTCCCAGGTTTCAAAACCATGTGTTATGGGGAGAGCTGGAACCTCATAGGGCACTATCTGCCAGACTAGGCTAAAATCAGGTTGGATTAGTCCAGCATGTTGTGGGGACTGAAGCATTGCCTTGAGAAACACTGCCATAGCATATTGTGAGAATCAAGGCTTCATATTAAGCCATGGTATGTTTTATTTTTGGGGGCACATCATGTCATGTGAACACAGCAACTGTGTTTTGTTTACCTGGGGTTAATATATTATGTGAATCCTGCCTTAGAGCTAATGCAATGAAGCTGTGCAAAGGCAGTACTGAATGGAACCAGGGAATGAAGAAATGGGCCTTTTATTTAAAATGTTTTGAAACCATTGCTTTTTAAGTGAAAAGTGATTAGATGGGGATACATTTGGCAGCTCTTTGCTTTTGGCCTAAGAGAAATCTTCCTCCAGCATTAAAAAACTGAAGGGTTGACTTGGATAGTGTTCCCAGAAGTACAAAATTTCAAGAAGTGTGTTGGCTTTTCTTGATAATGTTGTCATCTACATCCTCTTGCTGTGTTTAAGAAGTCACGCACTACTTTTAGCTTCTCTAATTTTGCTTCTTTGACAGGAGTCTACCCTAAGTGATGACTCTATCCCCCCCAGCAGCAGTCCTAAGACCCTGAGCGTGGGCCTGCCAGAGACCAAGTGTTCCTACCCTTACCATACACTGTCACAATCTTCTGATGAGGTAAGTCCCCCAGTACTCAAACCCAGCAGAATAACACTGCAATTTCTCTTTTGCCCATCTAACCTTTATGCTTCATGTGGACTAGAAGTTTTATAGTCCTTTTTTTTTTTGAGCACTGAATTCATCCAGCCAGGGCTCAGCTGTTCAAGTTGCTGTCCCAGTTGAAACAAGTGAATAAATAATGTAATAAATAATTAATAAATAAATAACAATTAATGAATAAATCATAATGTAATACTTTGTGCAAAATAAATATCTGGATGTTTTCTCCTTTTTAATATCTCTTGGGTTATAAGAAGTTACAGGTAGCCCCCATTGTTTAATTGGGCTTCATTCCAGCATAAAACTGCAATAAAACTGAATAATGAGAAGCTGAATCTATAGGAACTGGGTTATAGCCTATGGTTATTCTCTTCATCCTACAGGAAGAGAGTTATGTAGTTGATATAAGTAGTGTGATTATAACTTGTGTGGGGTTAAAAAAAGAAGAAACCTTTATCCCATTGCAGTCACTCAGTGATGAAGGGTGTACTCTGCATATTGTAATATTATGTTCTAGACCCAGCAAGGTCTGCTACAACCAAGAGAGGAAGAGGAATAAATACAGGAACATTGCAGAAATAACTAACCTTAAGAAATATAGCATGTACAGAATCCCATTCATCATTTTGCACATGGAAAAAGTAGCATGAAAGAAAGGCAAAATTGTGGATACACAAATACCTGTTTGCATGTATTAAGGTCTGGGGTTTTATTGATTCTGGATATGTGAAACTGTTGATGATGAAGGCTACCTGAAGCTTGTAATATTTGTCTGTCTTAATACATTACTGAAAAAAAAGAATAAAAGTCAGCACTGTAGTTGCTATGATTACAATATCAACAACAGAAGTAATATCATTTCTACCACATCCTTTCATTAACACATCTTAAAGTGGTGTAGACGTAGCATCTCTAGAGGGGTTGGGGGGACAAGTGATGAACCATATGTCATGATGCAAGATGTCAGAACACAAGTATGCAAAGGAGGGCTTTGCATCATGATGTTGCAGCATGTTTATTGTCAATCATTTTGATAGAATTGTGGCTTGCTGTGGTGCCTGTAAGTACGGAGAAGGCAAGTAAGTATTTTTCAAATTGTAGATTAAAAATGAGTTAACGTTTCCAGACACCCCACTAAAATGGCTGACTAGATGGTCATAGCCAAGAAGTTTAGACTTTATAGAATACAAGAACTAGAAAAAGATTAGATTCCATCTTTTTTCTCCCCAACAATCTTCCCTGAAGTTTCTGGATGAGCCTCTGAGTGCAGCTTCAGTGTGGAGCAGCCAGAAAGTGGGCCAGTGGTTGGAGAGTTTGAACCTGGAACAGTACATGGCAGAATTTGCTGCTCAAGATGTGGATGGACAACAATTGCTGCTCCTTGATGGAGCCAAATTGAAGGTAATGGATTCTGTCTATACCTTTGCTCTGAAAATGGCTATTTGAGAGATAGATTCAATGAGATTGCAGATTAGAGGCTGTTTAGCAAAAAAAGGCCCTCTGGCCTATATTTTTAGTCCTACCAATATAAATTTAGCACTGATGGAACAAGTCATGCTCTAGTGAAAACGTTCAATATGTAAGCACAGACCTTAAATGTAAGCATTTCTACTAGCAAGTGCTTCAATCATTTATCTCCAAAAGGATTCCAAGTTGACAAACCTTTAGAAAAACCTCTGGATTTTTGAATTGCTTAAATGCATTTTGAAGATGCATTTAAGCATCTTCAGTCACATTTGGAAGGCAAGGTATCATAGGAATATAGCATTATATACCAGGTCAGACACTTTATCCATCTAGCCTAGGATTGTCTATTCCATCAATGAAAGTTTCCCTCCAACCTCATCATTTTAGGCCAGACTTCCTTGTATCTTCCAGGTATATTCAGCCAGCTCCAATTATTCTGAGCCAAGCTGGACATCAGGTTGAAAAAGATGGTCTTATGTGAAGATACAAAAGATTGAACCTATGACAGTGTGTTCTGCTACTGAGTTATAAACCAGGCAAGGGAAGTAGAAGATCACACTTTCAGTCATAGCAAAGAGCCAGTAGTTGACCACCTTAGAAATGAAGCTTGACCCCACCAACTCAGTGTCAAGGTAATGCATGAATACTAAAGTGCAAAGAATCACATGGCCTTAAAGGAAGTGTGATTACTCATCTTCCAGGACATAAGGAGGAGGATGGGGAGAGAGAGAGAACGGCTGGGTTCATACACCACAGTAAGTCAGAGTGGCTTGTATTCCTTTTGACTTAGTGTCATGTATATGTATATATTGGATGGGTCTATGATCTTACTGCTTACTGTGTGCCGAAGAAACACTTCAATACTCCATAGGCTTGTCTTGCAATCACTCACAACTGAGCCTTTTATGTGGCTCTCCTGGTTCTTTGGAATGCGGTCCTTGCTGAGTTGAGGAACCTAAATGTTTGTTTTTTTAAAAGACTTTGAAAACACATCTCTTTGGACAATAAAATCATTGGCAATTTTGATTCATTTTTAAAAAAATTACTGGCTTTAGCTTCGTGTTTGGTTTTATGGTTTTATCTTTTTATAGTAAACCATGGAGATACCTCAGTAGTTGGTAGTATATGAAGCCTAATAAAATTATATATCAAGCCAGCCATTGTGGCTTATTCAAGAGAGCAAAGTATTCAGAGTATCAATGCATGAGTTCAGTGAGTGAGTGTGAAAGATGCAGTCTTCCAAATCAAGGGTAAGCAATCCTTTTGCTGCTGAGATATGAATTATTTTTTTCATCAGAAACCACAGCAACTTAAGGGACCACAAGGATATGCACTGGGTTGCCTAGGCCTGTCTTGATTTTACAGCTGTCTCCTTCCTTCCTCCATCTGCACAGGCGCTTGGTGTCAGCAACTCTCATGATCGGTCTCTTTTAAAGAGAAAGCTGAAGGAGCTGAATGCAGCTGTCGAGAAGGAGAAGAAGGCCCAGGAAAAGATGGAGAAGCAGAAAGAAAAACAGAAAAAGAAAGAACAGGAACAGAGGAAGAGTTAAGCAAAGAGGGGAAGGGGGGAATTACCATTTCCCAGCATAGCCTTAGACCCATTTTCCCCTATTCCTATGGAACATCTCTGGAATGAAGGGGATGGACATTGGCATCCAGGAAAAGGGGAGGGCAAGAGACAGGCATGGTCCTACCAAAGGTTATGGGCTTGGGTGGGACATAGGGTAAAGCTGAACTTGCTCTGGGACGTGATAATGGTGACACCAGCAGCAGGAGCTAGGCACACCCCTGATGGTGGATTGGCCACAAGGGACAGAGAAGACGAAGTTGCTGCCAAGGGTATCTCCTCTACTGTGCTAGGACAATCCAACTGCACTTTCAGGGGGCTAGCAAGACTCCCTCTCCCTCTGCCAATGGTGCAACATGGAGGTGGGCGATGATGCTGTCTCCCTGGCCCCTACCCTGTGAATACCTTCAGATGACACTGCTATATCTTCCTATTGATCTTATTCTCTACACAAAATTGCTCACCTCAGAGGCTTGGATGGGCTCACACTCTGTGTCAGTTAGGTGTCCCATCACACCCTCCTGCCATTACTAAGGGAACACAGCTGCCTTGCAAAACACAGATGAGAAATACACAGACATGCATGCACCCCCCCAACACACACATACACAAACATTCCCCAAATACAGCAAGGTTGAGACAACTGCATAACAGTTTCTTTTAGGCTCCTCTCTACCTCTCTCCCACAAGGTTTCTGCATCAGGAGTAAGCAGTCTTTGCCCATTCTTCACATCTACCTATAGAACAACATTGCTGGGAGTGGGCAGGTAGGTTGCTCACAGCTTAAGTAAGAGAAAAAAACTGTTTATGGGGGAGGAGGAGCTTTAGATGCCTGACAATATACAGCAAAGAACTACAGTGGAATAAAAGAAATTTTGCATTGTCAGCTGGAAATGATTTTGTGCATCGAAGACGCTGCACAGTTAGAACTTAAGTGGAGGGTCTCCCCTTTTCCTAATATTCTCATGCTGGTGGTACTGCTTTAAGACTGTTTGTTTCGAAACGGGAGGGCAATGGCTTAATCAGACACTTCAAGAAGAGCATGTCTTTCCCATTTATTTCCTTGTCTCAAATGCGTATTTTGTGGGGGGGGGAAAAAAGGAAAGTAAGAGGTATGGGAGAAGGAAAACAATGCATAAAATGCTTTTCCTCCCTCTAAAGGAAAGGGCAAGCTGGGGACTTATTAACCTGAGAGGGTCTTGCATCTTATTTCAGAATATTCATTCATGATATCTACCATGAAATTGGAAGGCAGAACAAAGGGAAGCTAAACCTACATTGCTGTATATATTCCACTACAAGGTCTGTTCTGGGAGCAGATACCTTCTGAGGATTTGGGTTTGTTTTATCAACCTGGCACATAGTATTTACAGGGAGAACACATCAGTGCATGTCTGCAACCTGCAGCCCACCGTGCAGTGAGAGCCCCTGCTCACATTCCGTCTCATTTTGCTGAATGTGCAATAACCTTGTGGGATTGAAGGTGCTTTCCAAACCTTTCTGTGATATTGCTGATGAAAAACAAACTGTGTTCTATTATGAGAATGTAGGTGACTCAAGGGAAGTGCACTTTGCCTCTCTCTCGCTCGCATAGACAACTCACAGCCCATATTTGCAGCTCCTGAGTCCTTCTGGAAGGAACAGAACAGCAATATTCAGATCCTTGTCTTTTTGGGGAGGGTTTACAGGTCAAAATGGATGCTTTAAATTTGCAAAGTGCTGCTCTCCCGTTCCAGTCACAGCAGACAGGTCTGCTTCTCCGGCCAGCCAGCCAGCCTTTGAACTTCTCTCACAAATGAGTTAGGCCATCACAACTTTGAATTACATTATACTTGTTCACAGAAGCCCATAATCACCCCAAAGACTAGGATTGTGCACAGATTGCTCAGCCCACATTGAGGGTTGGATCCAAATCTCTAGAAAGAGCTGGCTTGTTCTCAGGTTGCAATGGAAAAAATACAGCGCTATTCTTGCTGGGAAGGTTCTCTCAGGAGAACTTTTTCAAAAGGGGATTTCTTAATTGAGAAGTTGTAGCAGTCACTGTAATGCATGACCTTTTCCTCCTAAGCCACCAACTATCGAGGGGTTCCCTAGAAATCTTGGCACAAAGAAACTCAAGCTGGAACTTGCAACTGTGGAAGGCACCTCCACCACATATTTGTGTAGGCCTTGCTCCCTGGAGAGAGGAAAAAGGAGTGACTGAGACTGAACAGTTTGTGTACATTAAGAGGACTTTCCATTTTCTTCTCAGAGTTGACTTTCTCTTGTTCAGCTTTCTAGTCAAAGTGTCCTCAATGGATCCCAAGAAACCTGCAACCCTTAATCACATGCTTCACCCTTCTTGTTCTGTTTAGTTGTTTCTCGATCTTAAACCACCTCTCACTCAGACTACTTTTTCAAATTTCTCAAAGCTCCCAGTAGTCCTTTGGGAATGCAATTAGACGGAAACCTCTCCCAGTTTTGCCCAAACTCAGTCTCTCCTGCCAGTACCGTGCATTTTCTAGTCCATGTTAAAGAGGCCTTCCCCCATGGATTCATCACCCAGCTGCCTGCTGTGATTGTGGGGAACAGTGGCGTCATTCTGAGTGGAGGACAGACCTATTAAAAAACAGCACCTGCCTGTCAAAGTGCGTACACTAATAAGAGCCAGAAGGCCAAACACTTTAATCACCCTCCCACCTTTCCTTGGGTGCAGCCGCTGCTCTCCCTCCATTTGTCAGCTGGCAGAAGTCTACAATGACAAATATGGAGTGACGCTTTGCAGATGCTTCTAAATAGGGATAGTAAAAACGGAATAAAAATCTCTCCTGACTTCCCCAAACTGTGCTGAATCTGGGCTCTGACCCGTCCAAAAAGGTCTTGGCAAAAGATCCAAGGTATTTGGAGGGAAACTACAGACTTAGAAATGGGCCACATTTTATCACAGAGAAACCAGTGATGGCATAAAATGCTTTTGTTAACCTGCTCCTCCCATCTCAGCCCAACTTTTCACTTTCTTCATTGCTAAATATGCATGCAAAGCAGCGGGAAGAAACAGATTTTGCAATGAAGCCACTGTGTGTGCTTATGCATAATGGACATACATATAGAAAAAATGATTTTTTAAAATTCCTCATTTGCTCTAATTCTGTTGCCACATGTACCATTGCATATTCAAAAAGAATATTTATTCTCCTCTTGTTGTCTGTGAATCCATGGTAAGGATTGACTACTGCCCACGCATCAGAAACTGCTGGCTAAATCTAGCCTGGTTTATCTTCAGAGCTTGAAATGTCAAACAGCTCTGTGATTTATGTATAAAATATTTAATATATGCAATTTTAAAAAGGCAACCTCTCTCTCTCTGACTCCCACACACACATGCATTAGTAATCCCTGCCTCAAGTGCTGAAAATGGTGAAGTTTACCATCTCAGCTGCTGCCTTTCTGTATCTGGAAATATCACGTGTTTAGACTACAGCATCTAGGAATCCTTTATTTCTGGGAAATGATTTGGATTGAACCTTTGTTCTTTAAAAATCAGAGCACAGCACATTCTAGGGAAAGGTCATCCTAAGGTGAACCATTGTTCCAAAATTAGTCCTATATAAATAATAAAACAGCACCACCTTGCCAGCTTCCTGTCTTGAACAACACGACTTTCCACGCACAGGACAACAGGCATTTGATGTCAGTTTGAAAAGAGTCCCCAAACTTTGGAAGAGAAGTAACAATAACTCTGCTAAGCCAAAGCAGAGTTACGGATGCAGCCGCTACTGGTATCCAGCATAGAAATGATCTTGGCACTGACACTCTTATGTATTTCTCCCTAGGTACACAATGTCTCAGACGTTTTGCAAAGCATATAGACTTGAAAAAAGAGACAGAAAGGGAGGACGCTCCCTCAAGGATGCTCCTGGAGTCAAGGAAACATTGCATCAACCTGCAGGTGCTCCAGGAAAATGGAGCAAGGCGGGTTTTTTTTTTTTTTTAACTGACCTTGCTCCAAATTGAGAAAAGAAAGAAAACAATACCTAACTGCTTGGCTCAGCGCTTTGCTGATGGAAATATTCCTTAGGGTGCCTCCATCTACTGAAGAGAAAGCTCTGTCATTTTTGGCCAGCTGGCCTGAGAGTCCTTCTTGCGTTCCTCCCGGGGAATATGAGAGCGCTGCTGCTTTTCTGCTGGTCAGGCTGACAAAGCAAACAACAGCAACAGTGATTCTCCCTAAAGCAGGCATTGCACCGACCCCGCTTCCTTGTAACAATATTTCATCATACCACTTGCTTTAGTTCTCACAAGGGTGGACAACCGGAGGCCCTAGGACTACGTAAGGTCTCTGAAGCCGTTTTTTTTAAAAAAAAATACTCAGACACTCCCCCAATCCTAACTGCCAAACATCAGTGGCCCAGTTTGTCATTTCAAGTTTAGGAAAATTGTACTACAAACCTTAAGGTAGGCGTAACATAATTTTACAAACTATAAAAAGCTTATCTCCTCACCAAGAAAACCCTAAAAAAAAAAAACCCTAACCTTGAAAATCTTGCCTTAAACTGTCTGCCTTTTCATTCAGGTTTAACATAAACTTATAAAACACAAACATTCTCCTCATGGCTTTGACCTCTTGTAAGGTAAGTCTATGTGGGTTGGTTGGCTAAGCCTCCCCCCCCCCACCTTAACCTTAAATAGCGAGGAAGGAATTATTTTTGGAGAGCTGCAGCAAGAGGGGGGAATGAAGGAAGTAAGGAATCTAAATCCACTCCCCCCCCAAGTGGGGGAGCAACATTTTTCAGGACTCAGGAAGGAATCTAACCCACATAGATTTCTAAGTGCAGTGAGTAACAAAGCGGCAACAGGATTTGGTTTAGTTTTGTATAGTGCTCAAAGCAAGCATCCAATTCCCCTCAAAGCTAATTTTTCTCCGGGACCTAATCATAACCTCAGACAGGCCTCCCTAATTTTCCTTTGTACACATTTCCTCTTTTGAAGCCCAATCTCTTGCTTTAAATCTAACACCCATCCCTATTTTTTCTGGCTGTTGCATATCCTTAACCACCTTTATGCACTACCTGAACAGGTATCTGGGAGGGGGGTGCAATCTGGAGACCTGCCCCACAGGACCCCTGCCACCTGCTGTGCAAACTGCACACTGCACATGAGCGCCACATAAGGTGTGTGCATGCCTACTGCAAGTTTTTAAAAAATGCAAAGGCTGTGTGGTGTGATTACACAAAAAGAGGCCATCCAAGAAAGGAAGGAAGGAGATACAGTATTTTGGATATTTAAAAAACTGTGTCTTGGGGAAGAGGAGGTGGGGAGCGAAGTAGAATGCTGCACGAGGGGGCCTTGGATGCCAGCAGCGGCCCTGGTGCCTCAAAAGGACAACGCCTTTTCAGAGTGACTTCTAGAAATGGAGTTAAGGCATTCTGCTGTGTTTCGATCAGCAGAAAGGGGGAAGGGACTTTTCCTCCTTTTGGCCTTGCTTCTAAAACCCTGGTTGAGGGGAAGAAAACAAGTTGGTGGCGGCAAGTACCGAGTGAAGGGAGTAACTGATAGATCAGCCTGGGTTGGGAAGGACACACCAATTCTTAGACCCTCTGTGATGATACACAGCCCCACACATTTTACATCACGGTCATGCCCTTCAAAACATCAGAAGTCTTAGCCTTTTAATAAAATTTGTTAGGTGGAAAAGGAGATGCCAGACTCCTAATTTTTTGCTACTGAAGACTAACACAACTCCCCTCCTACAATATCCTTCAAAGAAAAGGGTAGAGCTTCCTTCAGCTGTCTAACTCTGCCTAAAACATTGGATATTCATATGAAGGACTCAGAAGAAAACTGACAGTCTCCAGATGCAGCGATATCCACAGTCAATGAAGTTTTCATCAAAATAATGAAATGTGCCTTGTGAGCTCTGCCCCTTAGTACTTCCATACAACGTTGTGGTCTAAGTGCAAAAGGGGTCACATCTGCATTTGCACTGCAACATCATGACACACAGTTTGTCATTTGCCCTCCTTGTGCACAGACACCCCAGATGCCCATACCTAGATGTTTCCCCACAGGACTTTGCAACCATTTATCACTGATCATGATTGGGAACAGGAAGAAAGACAAGTCAGTTCTCATAGGCCAAATCTCTCATTCTTCTTCTTCTGATTTACAAAGCTTTGTGACAAGGGTGCAAAACATGTGGCCCTCCATAATTGCAGTTCGTACTAGCCCCATGACTATTGATGAAAGGTTACAAGAAACAGCTCAAGGCCAACTCCCCTATCCAGATGTTATGTGATGCACATATATCTCCACTCGGTGTCATCATAATGTGTTTGAGCAGTAAACATCTCTCCTACACAAAGAGGCATGTCAGAAACCAGCAACAGTGAGTATGGCTGCATTCTGGGCATTTGAAGACCAATACATTATGAATCAAGAGACATCTTCAGGAACAAACTCAAAGGTGAGCTTCAAACACACAGCATTTTGCTGTTCTACCATGCCTCCCAAAAGTTGATGCCAACAAAAGCAAGTTATACAACCAGGAAGATCATATTCAAATTTAATGGTTCTTTCTTTTACTTAGCTGAACAATGAATACTTTAGCAGCAGTGGTGCCTTGGCACATGTCTCTTTCCCCCCAGAGAATTAAAAATATATTTGTACATATGAACACAGACCCTTTCCAGACAAAGAGCCCAGCACAGAGGATGGGGCAGAGATAGAAGGGTGGTTTGTGAGCGCTTAAAGTGGCAAACAGGCAGGTGCAAGTCAGACCCCTTAAGCACAATACCTGCTTAGAACAATAGCACAGGGCAAAAATAGAAGGCAGAAGCAATTTTCTGCCTTCATAACATTTCCACTTGTTTTGAAATGGGGACCAGAAAAGTGAGATCATAGCAAAGAGCCACTGGAGAGCAAACTGCTGATCCAAAAAAAAAAAAAAAAAAGGACTATAAAAGAGGGAAGGGAGAGCTTCTCACTGGTACCCATAATTGACCCCATCTGAGTTTGCTTGGAAAATAGCCCCTTTTGCCCATGATTTCTAAGCACTGGAGACAGATGATCCACAAAAATCTTAAAATAAACATATTCCATTTGCTGTGCTGCAATTGGAGGGCCGGATTGACACTTTCAGTGTTACCAGCTCACTCTTCACCGGATGGAGCTTAAAACACTGTTTCTTTGCCATCCAGTTTTCTCCCATAAGCCACTCCACCCATTCCCCAATTTTGTTGTAACAGTTTTCCTGTGGAGAGGAGAATATGCAACTCCTCCCATACAAACAGAAACTAAGGATTTATACCCCAACACAAGCCGGTCTAGGAACTGAGCTGTGCTGGGCGAAAGTGCAAGTAGTGGGTGAAACAGACAAGCAAGAAATCATCAAACCCCAAACCACCTTCGATGCTAGCAAAGCAATTTCTTCAGGCCTCATTGTATCCTTGTGCAATCTAAGTCTGAAGTTGTAGATTCTTCCAGTGCTAAAACTGCCAGTTCTCATGCTGCTTTCCTCAACTAGTCTGAGATTCAGACATGCATTGCGAAAAGCACACAGAACGTAATGCAAGAATAGCTATGACTCAGAGAATATTTCTTACTCCCAGAGCATACACTAAAAAGCAAGCCAGCGCTCTCTAATGTGCTTGCTCTCTGCAATGGAAGCACTGGACTCCGCCACCCCTATGTCATGTTTTAAATGTCCTTGTGCCTCTTGCTTGCAGCTTGCTTCATGTGAAGAAATCCAACATAATCATATCCGCATTTGTTAGCTCCTCCTCCTCCTTCCCTTTCTTCTTGAGTGCTTCCTGATTTTTCTCAATATGTTAATGCCTAGTGGTTGGGTTTTCAACTTCTTTGACATTACAACTCAAACATAATTAAAAGGTGGCATGTGCAAACACTAAATAGGATGAAAGCAGATCCTTCGGATCCTTCCAAACCAATAGATCGAAAGGCAGGATTGGGGTGAGGCAGAGAAGTTCCATGCAGAGCTATGATGAAAGTGATCTAGAACTACACACTTCCAAAAAGAAATCTGGGAAAGTGATCAGGATGCTCTCTAACTGGTGAACTGGCCAGGCAGCCAATAGGAACACTCCACAGAGGTCTTACAACACAAGGTGGGCTTTATGCTGGTGATGATCATTTGTTTCTTTTTCTTCCCTCACCAAAGTTTGGGTTTCTCCCCTTTGGAAGCAGGGTAGTCCCCTTCCTGGTAACAGAGAGAAGCTTGCTTAGGTCACTCGATAGGTGGAGGTGTTCTTGGGCTCTGTACTGGGTACACACCAGTCATCTGCCTCCTGGATGGTCTGATAGTGACGCCATGCTGACTTGTTGTACACTGGAAGTCTTTCCACAGAGTCTGTTGACAAGGCCTAGAAAGATTTAACACAGATTAGGACGCACTTTTGACAAGATCACATGCAGTAACCCACCTGGTATCATTGGCAGATTCTCTGCTTTTATTTTTATATACAGGTAGTTCTCGACTTAAGACCATTCCTTCAGCAACCATTCAAAGTTACGAATGTGCTGAAAAAAGTGACTTATGACTGGTGCCTAAAGTTACTGCTGTTGCAGCACCCCCACTGTCTCATGACCAAAATTCAGGTGCTTGGCAGCCCACACGCACTTACAATCACAAGAGTGCTTCAACTCCCCCCACCCACCTATCTCCCTCCCAATCTATGCCCTCTTGGCTCCCTGTCACCCTGTGCTCCACCGCCCCAGCTGATCTTCGCCATCTTCTTGCCCCAAAAAGCCCCTTCGCAAAAAGCTCTTGGGCAGAGCTGGGCTGGGCATTCGCTTTGCACTGCAGGAAAAAAAAAAGGCCAAAACCCAGCTCATGTCACATGATGTCACATGATGTAGTCACATGACGTTACCACCACATTGCTTAGCAATGGAAATTCCAGTCCCAACTGTGATCGTAAGTTGAGGACTACCTCTAAGGCAAATGGCCTCAGGAATGTGAGGCAGAATGAGCAGGAGGAAGAATTCAGACTACTGGCTTGAGTAAGTTATTCTGATACCCACACTACTGAATAACATGGAGTTGATCTTTGGAATTGATAACATTCCTAATCTTTGTGTGGAAATCCAGAAAAGTTGTACCTCTATAAACCCATATTTACTGAGATATGCCAAAGAAACATTTTGCTAATTTAGTCTCCATGGGACTGGGAATATGAGCAGGAAATGAGGAAGACACCAACTCACTTTCAAATAGATGACAGCATCTGTCCCAAATCCCTCCATGGAGAACAGCTGAAGATCACCTTGGAAATACTTGGCATAGAGTCTGGAGATAGGTAGTCCATAGCCAAACCCGGCCTTGTTTTTGCAGGAAGAAAATAAACATGGGTTACCAGTTGTACATAACATTACATTGCTGAGCATGCTTGTTACTTGTCCATCTATAAGAACCTCTGGAGAATTAGTTCTGTACATTCTCTCTCATGAGACCTGTTATGTATCCCTAACTTCACTGCCACGAAGCACACTGAGAGCCAAAAGAGAAGTGACAATTGGTGATTCACTACCCCAAACACACACACACACACTAATATAAAGAAGTGAGGGGGACAGGGGATTCCAACTTTGATTTGAGCAATGGTACTGGGAAAGGAGGTGGTTAGTCCTTCCTCTTCCCTGCCAATTTCCTGTTGTAAATTGGTTCCCAAACTTAATTCTAGTCTTGCCAAAGAGAAAAACTAATTTTCTTTTCCCTCACAATGTTGTAGGTTCTGGGACAATTCAGAACATGAAAATGGCATGAAAAAAAAAAAAGAGCTAATGATCCCCACCTGCCCCACATGGGCTGTTCTAATCAGCATTTCATACATTAATATATTAACGTTTTAACTGTTACATAAGTGAAATGCTGCACTTGTGGAATATTTTACTGTGGCTTTTTTCCACATACTGTCCTCAGCATTTCTGGGAGCAACAACAGTAGACAGTGGAAGACAATTAGAAATAAGCAAATAACATTTGAATTTTTCTTTCCTTACTGTCTTATTGTCTTAAGATCAGAACATTTAAAGTGATCCCCACTTTATCCCTTTGATGATCTTTCATATCTTAATTCCATTTCTGCAGTGATCTCTCTTAAGATTGATGAAGCACAGATTCCTAGATGTCACTTTTCCTCTTTGTCTACAAAGGCACATGTCAAGGCAACATTTATATTTAAAAAGCCAAGCTGTCTGAAGCCACCTGCCATGAGCTTTCCCTCCCAAGAGTTTTAAGACTGACTGCAATTTTAATTGGCTTCATATCCACAACTCTGGCACGCTTTATAACACATACCAGGGGTGTCCCCCCAGTGCCCAGCTCTGGTTTGGGTGCCGTGGAATATAAATAGCTGAAGAGTCGTTCAATCTTGCGGAGAGGAACCCCACCGCCTCGGTCACTCATCTGCTCCGCAACAGAAGAATAGATCAAAGAACAGAGAGAGATAGAAATTCAGTAGGGATGGAATGTAGGTAGGGAAGTCATGCCCCCTTATTTTCAGAGACCAGACCTTCATTTGAAGAGCTGGCAGTCCTAACTGGCTTTAGCCGGCCTTGAAAAACTAAGCATGGTGGAACTCAGTAGGATAGCAGACCATCAGGAAATATCCAGACTGTAGGCCAAATTGAGAAGTAAAAAAAAAAAAAAAATCCCAGAAGAAGACAGTGTCAAACTATTGAATATTGCTGCCAAGAAAATCTCATTAATGTGTCCATGAAATCCCCAGGTGTCTGGTTTGACTCCATGGATACTTTATATTTAAAAGAGATAACTAACTGAAGTCCAGTTAAAGATAAACTACCAAAAGGAAAAAGAGCCAGGGCTGAACACGTCTTCCACCCCAATAAGCAGGCAAACAGGCCACACGGTCACATTCTAGGATGAAATGTTTTGCATTCCTATTTAAATTATAATAATTATTTCTAAATTTGCATTTCTACATCTAATTACTTATGAAAATTTTGTGTGAATTGATTTTCTCCTTTATTCTCTTCTTTGACAATACTGAAGTAACTAAAATATCCTGATATCATGAACAATCCAAGATAGGACAAGTTGAACAGAAACTAGAATGAAGAGTCACTGTGATGTAGTGGTCAGAGTAGCAGCTTAGGACTGGCCTGACCCAGGTCCAACCCCCGTCATCAACTTGTTGCTGATAACTTATATCATTCAGCCTGCCCAACCACAGAAGCCTGCAATATTCATTCCTTCACATATACATACTATCCAGCTGTATGTATTTATTACATTTATATCCTGGTTTTCCTCTAAGACAGCTTTTCCCAACCTGGGCATCTTCCAGATATGTGGACTCCCAGAATTCTTAGCAGTGGCTTCACTGGTTGGGAAATTCTGGAGATGAAATTGACACATCTGGAGGATACCTCTGTTGGGAAGGCAGCTTACTTAGGAAGACAGTTCAAGGCAGCATTTATGGTTCTTTCTCCTCTGCTCCAGTTTATCCTCACAATCATGCTGTAATATAAGTTATGTTGAGAAACAGTAACTGGGTCAAGGTCACCCAGGGTTTGTGGCTGGGTAGAGATCTGTATCTGGACTCTCCTAGTGTTAGTCCATTACTTCTAACCATTGCATCAAGGCCACCTTGGCTCTTCTGGTGCAAATCTGATCTGTCTTTCCACATCCTATATCCTGCCCCAAAAACTCATTATATAAATCCATGCAAAAAGCTAAAGCTCAACCCAAGGACAAATCATATCAACCTAGCAGAGATTCTACTTAGAGGCCTTCTGCCTTGCTATTCCATATGGCCAGGATGAATACATGAGTCAATAGATATATTTCTGTTCCCATTCCTTTAGTAAATGCTGTGGAGAGAAGTGGATGTGAGTAGTGGGGAAGCCTTCTTCTCCCAGAAATTTGGACTCTGAATATGAAACCAGGGATTGTAAGAAAACTATGAATCAGTGTGATTCTTTTACTGCCTAGCAAACCACAAGTAGCTGCAGTGCTACCTAGCATTTTCACCTACTGCCTTCTTCTACCAGTTCACTCACCCTGATGGAGAGATCCTCCTGGCCCAACGCCACCATCACTTTGATGGGTGGCAATGTGGGGCTGGATTCATGGCTTTCTACAGTAGCCCTCATGGCATTCTGGAAGACAACAGGAGAAAAAGAGAAATATATAACAATGGTTTAAATAAATATCCTTATCCTAGCAAGGTCCCCTATACTTATTATTTGGAATTATGAATTTAAAAAACTGGAAGAGAGCACAGAAATCATTTGGACCAAGCCTGCAATACAGGCTAGAAGTATAGCAAGCATCTCTTTTAAGCCTCTGCTTAAATACCTCCAGTAAAGGCTGATCTCTTCTAAAATAGTCCCTGGCCAGATCCAGACACAGATTGTGGTCTGGTTATGGCTTAGTGCTATATGTAAAGCCATCCTCTGTTTCACTGTCAAAGAAATCTTGCTGTCAGGAACTCTCAACGCTTAACCAACATCTATCTCCTTCCAATTTCCCATTATATTCCATTGGCTTCTTTGTTGTTGTTTCAATCATTCAGCATTCTATGGTCACTGGGCACATCCAATCCTTAGTAAGATGCTTTCATGGTAACCTCCCACTTATGATTTCTTTCTCAAAGGCTTTATTTGTATTTCTTCAAAGTATGAGAGTCCCCGAGTGTGCTGCTCTCCCTCCTTGTGCATGGATACTGATTTTTGGCTTCCTAAGGATCAGCACTCAGTGAACACTCCATTAGAAGGAACAGGAGAGCTGGTGAATGAAGCAGAATGTTGCCTTTGGCTTAATTAACTAGTCAAAGATTCCATCTCAACATCCTATGGGCAATGGATGACAAGCTTTAAAGCATTTCTTCTGTGGCTACTGGAACACAGGTTTACTAGCCCTGGAGCATTTAACAGATGTTGCAAATCCCCCAAATATAAAAGGTGACTGCCAGAGGCTGACCAAACACAATGGTTATCTCCTATGTCTGCAGAAAAATGACTTCTTGCTTAAGTATTATAATATAGTATAAATTATTGTATTATATAAATTATTATATTATAGCCCACTTTTCTGCTTTGATCAGCACAAAATTCAATACCAATACACACACACACACACACACAATTCCCCAGAACTTCCACATCCTGGGAGTCACACTGGCCATCAGATTAAAACTGACCAGGGAGTGATCAGTCCATAACAAAGTCACAAAGGATTCCTTCACCTTCAGATCACCAGTTCTACCTGAATAGAAAACCAAATGCAATGGGTATCAACTACGCAAGTGGGACCATATATCAGCTGGGAGTACCTGGAATCCTGAGACACTCCCGATTGGGCAACCTCAGTGTAAAGACTGAAATTCCCCAAGGAGTTAGGGTAATTCAATGTTTTGACTGAGATACCCCAACACTGAATGGAGCAGCACTAATCTCCACCCACTCTAATGTCTGACCTCAAGTTACAGACCTGATTTCTGGCTTGAACGACAGTGCCAAAACATTCTATGGAAGCAAACTCCTGACTCTGATGGAGAATTACCTTGAACAGTTCAAAGAGCATGTGGTACAAGTGAGATGGAACGTAGACCATGTGGATGGGCTGGTTGGGTTGATTAGCTAGAAGCAGAAGAACAAAGGTAATTAAGCTGCTGTTCTGTATCTATTTTTTGTTCTTTTTGCCACTCCAGCACATGCAAAACACCCATGCTCCTTGCTGCAGCAATACAGAAGGCTGCTTTTCAGAAGTAGCATTTTCAACACAAATTTGAAGTCATAATCACATCAGTATGACTAGGTGTACTGGTCATGACCAGTTCCCTGTTCCACTGCAGTATCTTCATGCCAAAGTAAAGATGCCTCAGCCATATAACTAAGTGCAGAAAATCTCACAAGGAAGAGAGTTTCCTCAAACTTCATTAGTCCTCTGTGCCTCCCCAAGCTTTTAAACTGGCTTTTTTGATTGACCAGAAGTTCTCAAACTTCCTTTGGTCAAGTCAATCATCAGGTTTACCTAGCTTTCTGAAAAGCTATGGCTGACTTTTTACCACCTTTCCAAAGTCACTTGCTCTCAAACAGACCTTACATCCTTCTCCAACACTGAAGTTTGGTTTCCTGATTGATTAGGGTATTTCAGAACCTTTTTTGGATGATTTCATCATAAAGTTTATACATTTTGCCACCAAGTCAGGAATATCTACTTATCACATTTCCCAAGTCCTTCAGACTCTATAGTGTTCCACATCAGGGCTATTGTATTTAGGCTGCAAAACTTTGGACAACCACTAGATGGCAACAAAAAGATACAGAAAGTCTTAATGTTTTGCTGTGGATTTTTTGGAATTTTGAAGCCCAAATACAATAGTTTTTCTCCACTTGGCCTCTCCTTAGGATCATTTTCCAAGCTCAACTATATCTATGGAAGTCCAGTTCTAAAAGACTCTTCAGATCAGGCAGTTGGTATAGAAAAGAGAAAAACTTTCTCTCTCTCTCTGTGATAAAACGTAGCATATTTCTGGCATAAATGTCAAACACACATTCTACTTTGGTATACTGGAGTATTTTTTTCTTTCTTTTGAAGTGCCAATTGGGGATTGTTGGGAATTTTTATCCATACAAAGTTCAAAGACTTATCTAATCCAACAGCCTGCTCTCGAAGGTAACCAACCAGATGCATTCGGAAAGCCAACAAGCAGGTAAGTCATGAAGACAATAGCAAACCCTGATCCCATGCTGTTGCTCTAGCCACAAATACCTAATGCCTCTGATTATGAAAGCTTCATTTAGCTACTTATCAATCATTGGAACTATTGACAAATCTCACCTACATAAGCTGAACTATGCCATTTAGTTGTGAAGTTAGAGAATGATGGATTACATGACCGTCATGCCGCTTATCTATCCCCAAGAAAAAGGAGAAAGAGGTGGTGACTTGATTTGAGTTCATGGTGAAATGGACAGTGAGGTGATGTTAAGCACCAGTCAAGGATCACAGGTTGTACGAGCTTAAGAGGCAAAGCTGCTCCCTTCATCTGAAAGGCAGAGAGTAATGCTGCACAGCCCTTAACTAGTTTTCTGTCTTTCACTGTCTGGTACACATGGATTTTGAAAGAAGATGCTGGAATATTAATATTTCCCCTTGTATCTCATGCAAAATTTGTTGATCAAAACCAGAGATAATTCTGCCTTTCACAATCAGATGTCTCCAGACAATAATCCCCAGCATTCCCAGGCAGCCAGAGGAACTGAGTCAAAGCAACATAAGAAGATGCCTGCTGGTTTATTTAGGCCAGGAGCCCATTCAGCCCAGCATTCTGTGCCAGACAGTGTCCAACAGCTGCAGGCAGGAAGCTCGCAAGCATGGACAGAAGAGAGAGGTCTCTCTTCTGCTGCTGTTCCCCAACAGCTGTTATTTAAGATGTGCTGCCTTGGATGCAATTCCAACGCATCTGGAAGGTACAGATCATTACCTGTAATAACCCAATCTAATTTTATGTTCTCCTGGATCTCCCTTGCTGCAGTTCTGGGGTATCAATGAATTGCTGTTAAAAGGCAGGGCAGTCATGTCATCTGTTTTAAAAGGCAAGGCAAGGCAAGGCAAGGAAAAAAAAAAAAAGCCCAAAGGAAGGGAAATTGGGATTCTAGCAAAGCTTTAGTTGCCAAGCCACAGCAATTACTTTAGAGTTGCTGCTTATCAAAGGATCATTCAGCTACTTACTAAACCACATGTGAGGTCCTGTTTCAGAGGCTAAATTGAAGGGGAAAAAATGGAGGAGGCTAGCAATCCCTCTAAAACCTGCTGTGCAAATAAGAGGCCACAGAGCAGCCAGTCTGGATAATACCCAGCCCCACTTGGCCTGCGTGCTTCTCTACTAAACTTAACCCTCTTTTCCACTTTTATCCTGGCTCTGCAAACTCACCATTCACCTCCTGGATATCCAGGTCAGGAGATGCCAAGTAGTACTTGTCACATAACAGTTTGGCCATGTCATAAGCATCTGCAGCAAGAAGAAAACACAAAACGTTGGTTATTACAGAAACACGACATCTCTTCCTTGCTGAATTCCATAACCTGTCAACTTTGCCATAAACTGGACAAGGTCAGCAGGAGCATCTGCTTGATGAGCAGATAAAAAATTCTGCATTACTTTTATGCAAATTACTGTGATTTGTACTAAATTAAGAGAAGTTTCTGCAAGAACAGTGAAGGAGCATTCATTTATACTGCCTCCCCCCACCCCACCCCCAAATTTTCAGAGCTGTGTGCGTTCTCCTTCCTTCTTAATCCATATTTCCTTCTGAATTCTATTGAAGAACCACCTAACTCAATCAGGAAGGGCTATGAAAGAACAGCCTAAGTGGGTCAGAAGACTACTAGAACAAGAACTTTTCCTTTTCGTCCTAACCCCATGCAGTAACAGGAAATCCAGCTTCATTGCCTGTCCTTCTACAAAGAAAGGACCATATTATGGTCTTCCTATATTACCATGATACAGAAGCTTGCAATCCTTTTTGAGCAGAGATTTACACTCCCCGAAAAAAGCAGGGGGGAGATAAAGAAGTGAAAAAAAGCCTAAACTGTTATTTAAATTGTATTTTAAAACTTACAATTTAGCAGTAACTATTGGAAAACCCTGGTGGCGATACAGAAGGCTTTATAAAGACCACATATGCCTTGGGTATACAGTACAAGGAACTGTAAGTTCCTCCAAGTTTCCACTGTAAGATAAGCTGTGAGAAATTGTACCACAAATCTGTTTCAACTTTTGTTTTCAATACTGGCTAATCCGGTACTACAAGAAGCCAATGAGAAGAGTCTAGCTGCAATAATCCTTTATACCTGGAGGACCCATTTTCTTAGACATTGCCTGGGTTACCTATTATACTAAATCATGGCTTGTTTAATCATGATTTACTGAATAAACAGCAATTAGGTGGCTTTCCACAACACACTAACCTAAAACCAAACTACCCACATTACGACATAGCATAACACATAAACCCAACCACTGCTTCTTCTGTGAATTTATCAAATTGCCTTTTCAAGCCTTCTAAACCAAAAGTCATCAACACATCTTATGCTTATCCAGGATAGGCAACTCATGGCCAGAAAGCTGCATACAGCCATCTGATACCTCTTTTGCGGCTCCCTACCTTTGGAGATTTGAGAGGAGGTAAGGAGCAAAACAGATTTCTTAAGATTTCCAGAGGGGAAAAGAGATGCTGCTGCACAGACAGGAATCATGGAGGAACATTTACCTCTGACTACGTCTGAAACGTTGCAGTGTGGATCAATGCTGCCAATGTGCTTGGGGTGGGCTGGATTGGTGCTGCCATCAAAAATCAAGGCTGCAGAGAAAGGAAGATGCAAATGAAGGGAGACAGGGCATGATATGACCACAGTAGGCCAGGGTGGAGCATCAGATCATGCTGCCTATCAAGACTCTAATTGAGAATTCATCCCCTTAATGCTAAAACCAAGAGGAAGGGAGAAGAAAAGAAGAAGAAAACAGATCTGAGGGAATTAAGATAACTCACTGTGTTGGTTGAGCAGCATCCGGATAGAAATACGGCTAAGATAGAAACGATCAAGGAAGTACTGGATGTTTTGGTTGGAAACCGGGTCATCACCATAAGCCTCCCTATATTCAATTACACCCTGTGCCATGGTAGGGACCACATCATTATGACGGTTGCGGATTGTGACCAGGGCATTGGTGAACCTGGAGTGAGACAGCAGCATGAAACCTAACTTTCCACCTGTTCTATGTCCAAAAGATACACTTAGACTTCATGACTTATTCTTTAATAGGGTACATGCAGAAATCACCCGAGGATGATTCAGGTATGATCAAGCTTACCCCAAACAGTCTTATCTAGCCTGACATTTTCCAAGTGTCTTGCACCTTCAGGTCCCCAAACTCCTAACTCCTAACCAATGAAGGTCATTCAGCCTGTAATTTGTGATTTGCAGTAATAAGATATTTGGAAGATGCCAGACTGGAAATGTTTCTCTAAGCTCAACTTCAAAACAAAGAGTTCTAATGATGCATTTGTGCACATCTCAAGAGGCCTCCGAATTCAAACTCACTGTCCCAATATTCTTTGGTCCTCTGGATCCTTGTCGAGGAACACCATAATATCCAGCAAGCTCTGCACATACCTGGTAGAAGGAAGACGTGGGGAGGGGGAGAGAGAGAGAAAGAAAGAGAGATATTTATTATACAAGAGCAACATGTTTTTATTCTGACTCTGTTAGGGCATAATTGATAACAGAAAAGCAGTGCATCATTTAAAACAAAACCATTACAATGATTCACTTGCCCAAAGATAGTTTAGTAAAATAAGTGAGCACAAGGCTGCAGTAATCTTTGGTATAGTAGAATCTAATTCTAAACAGATGTGCTGTTAGTCGATTACACTTGCATGTGCATAAAACATGCATTTATTTATTTGTTTAGCATATTTATATAGCATATAAAACACGCCTTCCATATGTGTTGGGTATAAGTTTTCCTCATCTCAGCCAGGATGGCTATTGAAGATGATTTTATTTATTTGTTTGTTTATATTTCAAATGTGTCACCCATCTCACTGATGTAAGTTATCAGGTCAGAAGTAGCAACATAAAATAGCAGTTCCACAAAAAGGCTGTTTTCTTTGTATTTTGATGAAGGACGCATAAGTGTATTTCAATGAGGACCATCTTAAGCACGGTGTTTTCTTGTGCATGGATGATTAGAAAGAGGTCTCTGAAGACACCCAGTGCAAGTTCTTGTTTTAAAAGTAAATACTTGAAATACTTAAAGCAAAACATTAATTGGATCTTAAAATAAAAGTTGAAAGTAAATGTAACTATGTGTAATTCTTAGAAGGGGGAACCATTTTAAACAATTGGGAGACAGCAAGGACTGCTGGAAATGGGGAGGAGAGGAGAGAAAACTGTCTTTCTGTGGATATTCTTTAGGAATTTTTGGTCTTCTTTAGTAGACCAATTATTTTTAACACATTCTGGACAAACACCTTATCTCTTCTATCTACAGTCTTTGGTGGCTATAATAAATCAAAATAATAATAATAAAATCAAGTTCATTTCACAATTACACATTGTTACAAAATGAAACCATTTTCTATCTATGACAGATTGGAATGTCTTGGAAAAAATCAGATTAGGATTCAGTCTTCTAGCTTCTTACTTACTAACAGTGATTTCATTTCTCCAAGTATCTCTAAATAACTAAATAAGTATATAAAAAATTAAACATTATTTGCTCTAGCTTTGGTGGATCCATACAACCCAAGAGACAATTAATTTGGATTCAATTTTATGGAGCACATATAATGGCAAGGATCTTGATTCTACAAGAACTGGTCTCCATGCAGCCCAAATGGTATTATGTACCCATAACTGGGAAGTATCAATGTAATGGTATAAAAATGCAGAAATGGTCACTGACATAGATTAGCATTTTGAAGAAGGTTAGGTAGATCCATGGATAGATCCCAATCATAGTTACACACTGCCTCCAGTATCAGAGACAATAAAAGCTCAGTTGCTATGGAACATGAGTAGGAGGAAAGTAGTACTATTCTGCGTCCTACTTTAGGACTTCCAGAGGCATCTGGCTGGCTCCTGTAAGAATGAAATGCTAGATTAGATCCAGCATGATGTTCCCAAACGAGGTTCTTATCAGCAGGTTTGGGGAAACTCAAGTTTGCAAAAGTCCAAAATAGGTAGGAGCGGAAAAAAAAAAATAGAGCAACTCCTTTGTCACCTTCCAAAACAATGTACTGGCCATACTCTATGGGTGCTGACTGCATGCTGGGTACTGATTAGAAATACACAATGGCAGAAGAAAGCTATGTATATTCCAATTCCTTCCTCACAGCTGAAACTCTACAGACAGAAGGTCAACATATCAGGGGTAAGCTAGATGGGACACTAATGGCAAGGTTGTTTGGTATAATATCATTTTCCTCCAGTAGTAATGTATGGCTTTTAGAGCTGGACCATAAAGAAGGCTGAGCGCCGAAGAATTGATGCCTTTGAACTGTGGTGCTGGAGAAGACTCTTGAGAATCCCCTGGACTGCTAGGAGGTCAAACCAGTCAATCTTAAAGGAAATCAACCCTGATTGCTCATTGGAAGGATCGATAATGAAGCTCAAGCTCAGATACTTTGGTCACCTAATGCGAAGAGAGATCTCTTTGGAGAAGACCCTGATGCTGGGAAAGATTGAAGGCAAAAGGAGAAGAGGATGGCAGAGGATGAGATGGTTAGATAGCATCACTGAAGCAATGAGCATGAAACTGAGCAAACTCAGAGAGGAAGTGAAGGACAAAAAGGCCTGGCGCAATATGGTTCATGGGGTCATGAAGAGTCGGACACGACTTAACGACTAAACAACAACAACATCATTTTCCTCTTGTAATGGATTAGTCCATTATGCAAGCCCTATTTCTCTTACTGCCCACTCAATTTGTTTGTAGTCTTCTGTTTCTGGTTGAGGAGATAACCTCCTTCTCCATCTTTTTCAATCAATGCTTCAAGAAGAGATGTTGCCAAATGCTTTCATCTCAACCTCTCTGTTCAGTTGTTTTACAATTTCATGACTGTCTCTGTCTTCATGACAAATTATGAAATCATCAACATAAGCCAAGTAAAAGTTCATTTGTTATGTTTAAATCTCAAGTATAGGTAGGGATCAGCCTTGCCTTCCTTAAATCCCTTTTTAAGCAACAGTTTGGTTTCTTGTTCTGTATCCTGGAAGGCTCTTTTTGTCTGCAGTTTGCACACAAGTTTCTCTTTGTCAGCTTGAATGAACCCTGGGATCTTTCTGTGTAAATGTCTTCTCCTAAGTCCCCATGTAGGAAAGCAGTCTTTACATCCATATATCACCTTCCATGCCTGCAGCTGCTTCTATGCTTGAGAGAATTCTGACTGAAGTATGTTTCACAACTAGGCTGAAGGTCTTCTCAAAGTCCTATTGATATTTCTGGGAGTATCCCTTGGTCTGTACTTGTTTTACTGAACTTTGCCATCTGCATTATGTTTGATCCTAAAGATCCACTTGCCTTTCTTGTAGCAGATAGTTCCATGGTTGCTGAATTCAGATCCTGATGCTTTAGTCTCACATCAAAGTAAGCCATATTAATTACTGTACTTTAAACCTTCCAGTGGACAGATCTAAGTTACATATCCAGCCATGAGACTTTATTCAACTCTACAGTTCAGTTTCTTTCTTTTATCTTTGGAAATATAAGCATGCACTATAGATCCAAAAATCCTAAGGTGATTTAAACTGCTTTCTGTTCAACCATAGTTTATGCCTTCTATGGCTTTGACAGGTAGCCCATTTTGAAATTAGTTAACTGTTGAAATGTTCCCATCATGTTTAATCCAGGGAACAACAACTAACATAGCTTTGCACATGTATAAAAGGGATTTCCTTCCTTCCTTCCTTCCTTCCTTCCTTCCTTCCTTCCTTCCTTCCTTCCTTCCTTCCTTCCTTCCTTCCTCCCCATTTTGTTATGATACAAAGGGAACAGATCTCTCATGAATAATCCATTTTTCTTTAAATAATAAACATCTGTCCATAAAAAATTCTGTTCCATTACCAGAATGTAAAATCTGGGGCTTTTTTCCAAATTTAATTTTTTTACATAAGCCATAAATTGTATGAATTTCTGAACATTTCATCCTTATGGCTTATCAGATATAAACAGCAAAGACACGATGCTTTATTCAAGAAAAATGATAAAAAGCCTGTTTCCTCTGTTTGACTCAATGGGAAGGGAATAAAAGTCAGCGTGGATTTTCTCATCCATTCTTGTGTTGTGCTGTGCTGCATTTCAGTGCTTGCAGTACAGTCTGAACTATGTGATTCCTGAGGACACTTATGTAAACGCACAGAACAGTGCTAATTGGTACATTTGCATTTTGCGGTTTTGAAATTTATGGCCAGTTCTTTCCTTTGTATCTGCCTGATTCGCTTTATATTCTGAGTTTTCTGTGCCAATATTCAGTACAATTTCTCCCTTTATGTTGCTTTGATAACTTTACAACCTCAAGCGGTTTTCTCTTAGAGAAATCACAATTCCCTGGGAAACTCATTCTGAAAAGTCGAGATTCCAGCAGATCCCCATCCTTGTTATTGAGCAACCCCCATCAACAAATTCAATTCCCTGTCCCTTTCTGACTGTATAAGTAGCACTCAGTAAATTGGAGTCCAAATCTGAGAACAGTTCATCCCTGACGTGCCAAGCAACTGCGTCTTTATAACCTACTTTTGATTACAATTCCAATTACAAGCTTATTTGCTTTCCATTTATCTCTATGG